AGAACAGTACAGAAAAACCTAAGCTATTTTTAAAAAGAAAAACAAAACTGAATTTTTTATTTCAAGCTTTACTATAAAACCATAGTAATCAAGGTACTGACATAAGGAGACATGTCCATCCATGGAATAGAACAGTGGGCAAAAACAGATCCAAAACATATGTAGAAATAATGTTCAACAAAAATGCCAGAATAATTCAATGGCTGATTCTCAAAAAAAAAAGTGTTGGAACTGCATATCATAATGATAAAAACAAGTTGTGACTTTTTTCTGGTATTATCCACAAAGATTAACTAGAAAGGTAGTGTAAACCCAGATATAAAAACTAAAGTAGCATAAATGGCCTTCTTCATGACTTGGGAGGAGGTGGATATTTTAGATAGGATGCCAAAAGTATTAATCATAAAATTTTAAAAATTGATCAAAATTATAAACATCTTCAGAAAACATTACTAACATAAAACACAAAACAAAAAAGTGAAGCCATAGGTAAAAGAAAATATTTACAAAATATGTATCTGACAATGAATGTGTCCAACATATAAAAAGAACTTTCACAACTTAGAAATAAGATTATGACTCAATAAGAGCAAAAGATTAAAATAAAGAGTTCACAAAAGAAGTTATATGGATCATCGATAAGAAAATGCTAAACATCACTAGTTATCAAGGAAATGCAAATTAAACCACACACAACTGCCGGCAAACATTCAGCAGAATGGCTAAATTTAAGAAGAATGACAATACAACTAACAGTTAGTGGTTAAATGATGACAAGGGTTGGAGCAACTGAAACTCATACATTGCTGATGGAAATGTAAACCAGTATAGCTGCTTTAGAAAAATCTGGTAACTTTTCATGAAAGTAGACGTAGTCTTATCATACAACCCAGGAATTCTACTTCTAGTTATTTAACCAAGAGAAATGGAAACATACTTCACAAATGTTCAAAGTAGTTTTATAAATAAAATAGCCAAAAATGCAAACAATTCAAACAAAAATGCAAACAATGTCTAGCTGGTAAATCAATAAGCAAATTGACATATATCCAAACAATAAAATACTCTTCAGCAAAGACAGAACTATAGACAAAGCAAAAATGTGGCTAAACATCAAAATATTATGTTCAACTAAAGAAGGCTGGCATAAAAAAGCATAGTTCCATTTTCATGAAATTTTACACAAATAAAATACATAGTGACAGAAAGCTTATTTAGTTGTTGCTCCGGGATAGTAAGGGACAAGGATGGGTACAAAATAATTTTTCTAAGTGGAAGCAGTGGAAACACAGTGATTCTATGGATATGATGTATGAAGATGTCAAAACTCATCTATGCACAATTAAAAAGGGTGCATTTTATCTTCTGTAAACTATACCTCATTAAAGCAGATTTAATAAAAAATAGAAAGAACACATTAAGACTTGAAATACAAAAATCTGGAGTTTACATTCCGTATGTCTATTGTTTCATTTTTATTTCCCTTTTTAGCAATTTTCCTTGAAAAAATTTACACTATATTTTTCATGTGTTTAAATTTTTATGCATAGGAAAAATATATACATACATAAATATAAATAGTGGTTAAACACAACAAATCAAACAGAGTTCTCATTTAGTTTAGGAAAGAAAAAAGCACCAAAAAACTTCAAACAGCCTGGGATCGTTCTGTGCCTGCTCCTGTTTCCCTCTAACCTCTTTTTTCCCTATCCATATCATCATTGAGTTTTGTGTTTAGTCTTTTCTGGCTTTTCTTCAGAACTTTACTAAATTTCTCATTTTAAAGAAAACATTGGTTGATTTTGAATGTTATAATCAACATCAATTCTTTTTGTGTGTGCGTGTGTGTGTGCGCGCGTATGTCTGTGTATTAACTGAAGCCAAGGTCTCCTGCATGCTAGGCAAGAATTCTAACACTGAGATACGTCCCCAGCCTGAGTGAGTTCTCTTTTTAATCCATTATAATTAGGATATTATTTCAGTAATTCAATTGAAATTTTTAGACTTATAAAATCACGAATTGCTCTACCTGGACAATCTTCAATTCTCAGTCTTACTCCAGATTTATTTGAATAGTTAGTACTTGCTTCTTGAAATACTTGTGTTCTTCTCCCTATCTTTCTCCTGTTCTTTGCATTCCAGGCAGAATGATCTTTACTTGTCATCATCTTGTATGAAAAGCTCTAATGGCTTGCTGTTACACTGGAATGAAATTCCAAATCATTACGATAGCTTATAAAATTCTATACAATCTGGTCCCTTTCTCTCAGCTCTCATTTGTACTACCCTTGTATTACCTGTCTATCCCAGACTTTGTTTCTGCTACAGTGAGGGCCCTGGAGGGTTTCGGGAGAGAATATGATTTAATTATATGTCAACTGGCAAGAAAATGGTAGCTTAAGGAACTTTGTTTTCTGTGTTGAGAGCACAAATTAAATAAAAAAATCAAAGGACAAAAGTAGATATTGGATTGGCAATCCATTCAGGACCCTTCTTATGTCTCAGGAGCTATTTTTATTCCCCATTCCTTCCCTCCAATAAATTTTCCTACTCTTTAAAAAAAAAAGCAAAGAGCCAGGAGTTTAGTTCAGTGGTATAAGAACCTACCTGGCAAGCATAAGGTCATGAGTTCAATCCCTGGTACCAAAAAAATAAAAGTAGGCAGTAGGGGATAGAAAGGGTGGGCTGTCACAGATATTTTTTCATCCTCCAGATCTATTCTCCATCTGCTCTGTGCCCATGGGGTTGATGCTGGTGACTGTGTACTCTGGGGTTCTGAGACATCAGGCTTACAATAGATTTGCATAATTAGGGAAGAACAATAGTGTGACCATCTGTCTTGGCTTGTCTAAAACTGAAGGGGTTATTGGGAAGGTGAGACTGTCAGTGCTAAATACCAAGCAAACAGATGAGCTGGTCTCCCTTCATCTTTGCTCTTTTCTTGCTAGGCCAAGAATTAGGAGTAAAGTCACTCCTCAACATCTGCAGAGGGTTAGTTTCAGGACTTCGCCTAGAAACCAAAATCTGCATATGCGGAAGCCCCTTACATATAGTGGCACAGAGTAAAACCTCAATAACTAATATTATATGACTAGTAATGGCTAATATGCTATAATTTTATTAATTCATAAACATCTATCAACACTAAATATCTGTTGAATTAGTTAATTAAATGATTTGAAGGATACATTTATATTAGTAATTATTTCTAGATGGTGGAGTTATAGATTATAAAATTTGTATTTTCTATATTATATAAATTGACTACGGCATAATTGTATTATTTTATAATAAAAATATTAATTCATACACATTCTAGGAGACCTAATCACATACAATAAGTTTATGTCAAGTTGCAAGGAGGAGCAGCAATGCTACAATGCTTCACAGGAAGAATGAGAGCTAGATGACTTAGAACAGATTTTGTCCCCACCCCATCTGGTTTTTTGAGACAGAGCCCCACTATATAGTCCAGTCTGGCCTTGAACTCACTGTGTAGCCCAGATTGGCCTCAAACTCATGGTGATCCTCCTGCTTCAGCCTCCTGAGTACTGAGATTATAAGTGTGAACCACCACACCTGGCTAGAATAGATCTTAAGGAGAGGCAAATTGTAACACAGGAAATAAATTAACTAAATAAAACATAATAAAGCCACTCTGAGACTAAAATATCGTAGATCTATATTAAAAGAAACAGACAATGGAAGGAGAATTTCATAGGCAAAATAACAGCAGCAATGATGGGAGGACCAAATCCAAAAAGCAGCATATCATGTGGACATGAAACCCTGCAAAACATCTAAACAAAATAAGGATCAAAATCATTTTACTACTATAATAGTGGCTCCACTTATAAAGAGTTTGTTAGAAGTCAAGATTGATAGTGCACACCTGTAACCCTAGTTACTCAGCAGGCTAGATTAGGAGGATCACAGTTTAAGACCAAGCTGGGCAATTTAGCAAGACTCTATTGCAAAATAAAGTGAGCTGGGTATGTAACTCAGTCAGTGCCCACCTAGCATGGTAAAGTATGCATGAAGCCCTGGTTCAATCCCTAGTACCACAAAAACAAATAAATAGTTTACTATAAGCCAGATCAATACTCATAGCTTTACACAGAGGGCCTCACTTAGTGTTTGTAGTGTTTCTTATAGGAGCAACAGTCCCCAATGAATCGTATCTGTCAGCGTCAATCTCCTAGTGCAGTTTCCATTCACAAAGACTCTAAAACTGGCAACATGATTTGCACTGGTCAATGTGACATACATAGATTTCACACAAGTCCAGGTATACAAAGTTCTCATGTGTCAAAGAGCTTTCTCTCTCTGATTTTGGGTATTAGGTATTCTAATAGTCTGTGCTAGCCCACTGGTGATGTACTCAAGCCAACAGTCACACACATGTGATTGAGACTTAGACCCCAGTCCCAGTTAAGCCACCAGATAACTAAGTGAATCCAGACAATACTAGGAGAAAAATACTGCCCATGTACACCTGGCTCCAGTTGATGACCTACGAAACCATAAGAAGTAACACAGATGAAAACTGTCTGATGTTTCAAGTCATTAAGTTTTAACGAATAAGAGACAATTCTCAAAACAACCTTCAAGATATGAATTATTATACATTTATAAAGTGAAGGAACAGAACTGTGAATTACTGGAGGCAGTAAGTGACAAAGCTAGAAGTTGAAGCCAGGTCATCAAACTGCAAACTTTTAATTATGCCTTTATAGATGAAAAAGATGACTTAAAAAGATTATAAAGGTGATATACCTAACACTCAAGGACTGGTAATAAGGTGATTTTTAGAAAGGGTCAAATGATGACTCTTGGACCTTGAAAAAGAGAAGGAACTGTGTAAGAATCTGAGTGCTAGAATTAGAAACAAAACCACGTGACGCTGCTTGAAGCCTTAAAGAGACAGTACCAACAAAGTGTGGGTGTTGGCAATAAGGAATATTGGTATCACAGGCAGAGCTGGGATAGGGTCTACTCACCGGACAAAAAGTGACGTTCTTGAGATTCATAATTGAATTGGTTCTCCATAGGTTGCAACTGGACACCTCAGAGAGCAAATGAAGAAATACCATTTCCTTTGTACGATTTTCTTCTCTGCTTAAAGGTCTCAGGTCTGGAGGGAACTGAGCACCAATGGGCTCAGAAGAGAATCATTCTGCAGACTAGGAATATACCTTCTGAGACTAGAACCCCGGAAACAGTCTCTAAATACAAAAGAAGAAAAAGAGGAAATGAAACCTCATTTAATTTCCAAGTAATTTTTCTCAGGCTTTTCCAGCTCCCACCTCCATCGTCCAGGGCTGTGGCAATTACTTCTCTAGGACACACATTCCCCATTCCAAGTTGAGAGCTACTCAAAGAGCAATGGGAGTTAATGCTCCCAAACAGGATGTAACTGGGAACAGAGAAGAGATTTTTAGAATTTGTCTTATTGGTTTTGATTATGCTATCCCCCGCTTTCACGAAATGACACTATTGAACGTTATGTCTTTCCTTCCTTAGCTCCTTCTAACACACATTCAAATAGTTCTTTCCGTATTCACGCGGATTCATCCGCGTTTCATAATGATACCAGCTTCCCCAAATTTCTGGCGTGAACCCGGCTGAACCCAAGGCCCAGAAAGCGCTGATCCTGTCCAAGAACCGATTAGGTCTCCGTGTCAGGCAGCGACAAAGGGCTCAAGAAACCGCCTGGTAGGCGGAATCGCCGGGGATGCTCGGGCCTTCCATGGGGCGAATTCCCGCGTACCTCCAAGCGTCCCGCGGCTCGCTGTCAAGGCTCTCACTGGGTGAACCAGCCGGCAACGCGTCCACTCTAGGAACCCCGGAGGATCGCTCAGCTCTAAGGCGCGGCGCCGCGCATGCGCAGTGCCCTGGCTAGGGCCGGACGGTGTCCAGAATTAACCCGTGAACACCCGCAGGGCAGTTCCCAGCTGAGCCAAAGCTAGGGACCGACTTGGTCAGCGAAACATTGCTTGATGCCATGTCTGCCGGTTCTTGTGGTGAATACCGGACTCCAATATCTTTTGGGAATGCATCCTGGGATTGGGTAAGTTTTCTGATTGGATAATGAGTCAGTGTCTCCTTCTTACTCCTCTCTCTCATCGTGTAATCAGATTCTCAGTTGAGCTTTCGTTCTTTAACTTTCTTCTTGTCTCTTTCCCCCCAGAACAGTGGCAGACATCTGAGTCACTTGGAGGTCTAGTACCCCGGCCCTAGAGTTTGTGGCTCAGTAGGTGAGGGATGGTCACTCAAATTCTCAGGTCACCTGATGCTGCTTGTTCTGCTAACCACACTTTGGGGAACCACTGCCCTAAACCCGGTGTGGTGGCACACGCCTGTAATCCCAGTACTTGGAAGCCTGAGGCAGGAGGATGGCAGCGAGTTCTAGTTGAGCCTGGGCCACATAGTGAATCCAAGGCCAGCCTGAACTAAAAAGCAAGACTCTGTCTCACAAACATACACATACACACCCAAACACACTCCAACAACAACAACAATACAATAAAAACTAAGTAATGCTCAGTAATTGATCCCTGGACTGCAGAGAAAACTGGAACAATTTGTGATTAAGAAAGGACAAGAAATCTCTAAAAATTTGCTTTTCAGTAAAATCCTCACTGTGACTACAAATCAAGACGTTAAGAGGGACCTGAAATGGAGATGGATCAGGATGAAAGGGAAATAAAATTTTAGATAAAGCCCTGCTGAGAATGTCTGCCAAACACAGCGGATGTATCGTGGCAAACCTGGTAACAAGGTTCTTCCCTTTGTGTAACCCCTGAGTTTTTTTTTTTTTAACCTCCGTTGTGTAACTGATGGCCTTGCAATGTAACTTGAGTGGTCTTTACTGCCTTTGTATAACTGATAGCCTTACAATATAACTTGAGATGTTTAGACTCCTTCAGCAACCCATGATGTCTCCCAGCCCTCCAATCTTATGTGTCAAATCTACCTTTGTACCTTCCCACTTGCTTTCCCAAGCCCCAAAACCTCTCTGGGTGGGACTCTGGCTCTTTGGGAGAGATCTTAATCAAGAAGCCTACTTGTGTAATAAACTGCCTCTTTACCATCCTTTGTGCCATTTCTTCCCATGTTTGGTCTGATTTCTGTAACAAGGGTAGTCAAAGATGTTTCTGTGTTCATGGAAATATCTTGGGAAATGAGCAGTAGGGAGAAGTATTGAGACCAGTAAGAGAAGACGTGTGGTTCAGGGTGTGGGGAGAAAAGTACACAAGAGGGGAGAAAATAGTGGGTGGCTCAAGTGATGGTTAAGGTAAACAGGGCTTCCTGTCTGCACCTAAGACCCTCCTCCGATATATGGATCTTAAGGCTTTATGACCGAGACCCTAAGATACTTTTAAGAGGAAAAGGAAGTAGGACCCTCAGTCCTCCAAATAGGGAGTAAAAGTACTTTTTAAAAAGATAGTTTGTTTCCTGGGAATGGTGGCACATGCCTGTAATCCCAGCACTAGGGAGGCTGAGACAAGAGGATCATTGTAAGTTTGAGACCAGTCTGGGCTGTAAAGTGAGCTCAAGGCCAACCTCAACTGCATAGTGAGATCCTGTCTCAAAAAAACCAAAAAAGAAAAAAAGTTTTAAGTATAACTGACAATCTAAACAGTATTAATCTGTAATTTGACAAGCTTGCCATATATATGCAGCTGTGAAGCCATCACCACAATCAAAATAATAAATACATTTATCAACCCGTGGCATCCTTTCCCCTTCCCACCATACTGATTTGCTTTCTGTTACTAGAGATTAGTTGCATTTTCTATAGATCTGTTTAAGTGGACTCTTACAGAATGCACTCTCTTTTGTTTTCCTTAGACTTTCTTCTCTGAGCACTATCTTGAGACTTACTGTCTTGCTGTGTCAATAGTTCATTCTTTGTTTGTGTATATATCCATTTTCTGTGTGATATTCCATTATGTGTATGTATCACAGTTTGTTTACTCATTCAGCAGTTGATAGGCATTTGAGTAATTACCAGGTTTTTACTATTACAAATAAAACTGCTATGTACATTCATGTATAAGTTTTTATGTAGACATAAGCCTTTGCTGTCTTCTTGGTGGATATTATGCTTAACAGCATTGAATTCTTCACAAAGAATGAATTTCTGCCCGAATATGAATCTCTAATTCTGGAAAAAAAGTAAATCAAAATTGTAAATTTACATAAAATTAACTTTCCTTTGCTCAAATAAATATCAATGCATAGGGTGATGTTATTTTGAATGAAATATTATTTTTATGTTTATTTTTGGTGCTAGGGACTGAACTCACAACCTCATGCTTGCACAGGCAGGCGCTTACCCCCACCCCAGCCCCGTCCAACTAAATCCTCAGCATGAAACTGATAGAGTTATTTCCAAAAGATGAAAAATATTAACAAAAGATGAGAAATATAAAATAAAAAGCGGCCTTTATTCTGAGAACACGGAGAGAGATGACTGGCAACCCCACCGCTGGCGTCCGGCAATCTCTCCGGCGGACACGCGGCGTGGGGGCCTGTAAATAGCCTCGGTTTGGGGTGGAACCTAAGGCGGGCATTAGGGATACACAGGTAGCCCATTGGTCCTAGGTTTGGCGCCATATGTAAATTCCCAGGGGCGGGAAGATGGCGTCACAGGTAACTTCCTAGGGGCAGGGCAAGATGGGGCTTCCTGCTTCTGGTTGTGGCTTTCCTGGCTACAGTGTCCTATCTGGGCCAAACCTTTCATATCCCGTCTTATGGTTATTATTATGAAAAGGGGCGAAGATTTCTCTCTTTAACTACTTCCTGCTGGCAAAGGGCGCTGTACTGGAGCCTATGGGAGTCGACGGGATGAAGGTTGATGCCCAGGTAGACGCTGGTGCCAGGTGTTTTGGCCAGGACAACTTCACTGGTGAATGCACGTATGTCAGACTGGAAAAACAAAGAGACAAGATGTTATGAGGAGCCATGGCACTGTTATATTTAAGGACCCAGGTGAGGTAGAAGGAAAGGTGCCTTTGATTTAGACATGTTCCACGGTAAGGCAGAATTCTGAAAATTAAACGTGGGGTTAGGAGGAGTAGAGTTATGAGTGGTGCTTTCTCCCCCATCTGAAAGCATAAAAGTTAAGACGGTAGGTTGGTAAGGCTTGTCTCTGGTATGCATGATGTTGGAGTCTGTAGGCAATACTGTTAAAGAGTCCTGCTGTAAAAATGATCATTAATAGAATGTAAGAAATTAGGAACCAAAGTGGATAACAAAACATGACTTAGCCTGTTAACTGTGGCTGCGAGGCCTTTGTGAGACGGAGACGGGTAGGCGGCAGAAGATGAGATGACCACTCAGAATGATCAGATTTAGGGCTGGGAGGGCACCTCTTAGCCTGAGTGATGTGAAACCAGAATGGCAGTCTAGCAACTTTGATTTAGGCATGGGTCGCTGTAACCTGGTTGTAGTCCTTCGAATGATTTGCTGTAACAGAACTTTAGCAAGTATGAGAAAGGCTTTTATGTATCCTGAAAAAGTATAAACCAAGTGAGAAGACTGGGACCTGCACAAAATAGGCCCTGTTTGTAATGTAAATGGCATAGGTTGACCATCAATACCCTGTCATAGAGATTGATGACTTAATATAGCAGCCTGAATACTCAGGAAGAACTCTGTATATATGGCCTCTATGTCCACAAATATAGAGAATGTCTTACCTGAGACTGTAGTGCGACTTGGAATCTGAGACGGACACCTTAAAGGGGTCTGTTGTTGCCCTGAACCCCCTCAGCCTCCAGCAGCGATTTTCTGTCGGTGACGAATCTGGCAGTGTCGACATTTCCTATGAGGGCTAGAACTTAGGATGGCTTACCCACTCTCTGGTGGCTAGGACAGTCCAGTAGCCCTGGAGTAAGGTCTCAAAGAATGCCAGGATGGGGCATTTTCTTGCCCAGTATCTTCTGCTGCATTTGAGCGTGGTCCATGGAGGGGGCAGGCAGCTCCACCTTGTGTAGGTTTACCTGTCTCAGAACTCCAAGTGTCACAAGTGTTAAAAATATAAAAAACTATATTAAGATCTCTATAAGGTTTGAAGGTCAAGTTTTGCCTTTTTGTTTGGGACTTGGACTATGGTAGAATTAAGTAAGTATGCAGGAATTTAATATTGGCATTTTGGATTAGAGAGCAGGCTTTATCTGGATGGCATATCGCTTTTTTTATAGGGTGACACGTAGAATTAACAAAAAAGCTTTAGTCTGCCAAACAAGGCTTTAATGGAAACATTTTGCAGTAAAGGTTTAGCAATCTTATGAATAAGTCAATCAAAACTGATCTAATACTGTCAAATTCTGAACACATTTAGTGTTTTTAACCCTGTTATTTGCAGTAGTATGAACCAAGACAAGTAAAATAAAACTTTAAGAAAACCCTTGAAATAGAGCTTGAAATAGAGCTAGTGGTTCCCAGCAAAAAGGAATTTATAACCTTAGTTGTTAAACAGGAGATTGGTGAAGGCTTTGATGGATAAACAAGGCTGGTAAAATTATCAGGTGGCCAATAACCTTGATTAAATGGTTTGAGAATTGTAATAAAAAAGCATCTTTTGAGCAGAGCCAAATTGTAAAAAAAAGCATGCCTGAGCAGAGCCGCTGAGCTGCTGTTTTGCAGCGCTCTGGCAGAGCACGCCCAGTGGGTGGGGCAAGCACTGGGATATAGCGCGCAGGGGCGGGCTCAGACTGCCCCCGGAAACGTGTAAGGTGGCAGCGGCGGCGACTACGACGGCGCACAGGGGAGGGAGGGGCTGGGACGGCGCATGGGAGAGGGGCTGGGAGGTGGCCCAACACAGTGCTCAAAGCTGGAACTGCTCGCAGGGCGCGAGGATTAGAAAGCCAATTTAGGAACACAGCTGG